CTCAGCACACCTATTCGTACAACGCCTTCAAGCGTTTGTCCATGTTGTGTCATTATGCCGAGTTTTAGGTGCTTGGGTCAAAGTTTTCGGACATCGGAGAATGCCTCATCAAAAAATGTTTTTTCGCTCCGAGCATGTGCAATATGTATCTCTCGGTGCCGATTATTCCATATGTCAGTGGCTTGGTACCGGGACATGTGACCTACAAATTTGGCACCGGGACGGCTCCCTTGGATTGGCTTAAAGCTTCGATAATAGGTTTTTGTTCTCAATGTGTTTGTCGGCAAGTCACACGCGCCACGTGACAGAGAGTGACCCGGGACCTATACCATCACCTGCCTCCAGAAATGGCACGTTAAACGGCACCACCATCACCTCGATCTGATCATCCATTAAAAAAAAAACATTTACAAATTTTTTTGCCTTACAACGTTTCACAGCACAGATTTTTGGCGCCACTTTGTCGGCGCCACTATCTTCCATGGGAGGTCCCTTCGAATTGCCAGTCCAGTTTATTTATGCGTCTATGAATTTGTACCAAATGAATTATGCGTCTATGAATATGTTCTAGTAATCTTGCCTGAAACCAACCGAAACATCCCAAAAATGCTTGGAAGCACGTGAGATTGGTGTGGATATCTACCTACAGTAAGATATGAATTAACCCGCGACCGCTGGGGGGTCGGATCCGACCCCCCTTCCGTTTTTCTTGAATAACTCATGAACCGCTTACGCTATCAACTTGAAACTTGGCATACCTTCTCTCCCATCAATTTGACGTCTTCTGTGTAATGTTTAAGAAAAAAATTTCAAAAATGTTTGAGATATATCGATTTTAGTGATGTAACTACATGGCGTTTTTAGTCAAAAAGTGGTAAATGTTTAAAAAATCGCCAAAAATCAGGTTTTAAAGCAAATTGCAAATTAAGGACATAAATAGACGCAGCTTAACGAGTTCTTTAGAATGGCTATCTCGGATTTTCCATAAAATGCGTTTTTCACCCCTAAAAATTCAAAAAACTACATTTTTGGAAAACAGCTAGTAAAATCCAAAATTTTGAGAATTTCCAAAAAAACCGGAATATATGTTATAGAGCTCTATTAGAACATTAGATGTCCCAAATTTCAACTTTCTATCTTGATTTTTGACCCCCAAATTGTAAAAAATAGCTCCAACATGCATAGGGCATGGTGACGTCATTAGCATTTTCGTGAATTAGAGGCACCTCTGAACATCGCATGTGAAAACAAATGGCACCACTAGATTCCTGGGACAAAGCTCGTCTAGAAAAGTGCATTTTTATGTCAAAAATAAAAAGTTGAAAAAATGACCCTTTTTCTCAGCCCTCGTTTAGTATAAACGATTTTTTATGCTTTCAATGCACACTAATCACCAGCAAAGTGAATTGGGGTCACATATAACCATTACCATCGGATTCGGCGTGAAAAATAAGCCATAAAACATTTGTTGCACGCCCATGTAGCAGAAAGTGAAAACCGTGACCTTTCGTGACCTGACCTGACCTTGACCCGTACTTAGTATGACCTCTATACTTACATGGTACCTTCACTAGGCCTTTGAGGTCATTTTTGGTGAGTTTCGAGCAGCAGCTATCGATTCCGCTGTCCGTAAGCCTAATCATGTAAAACCCCAGAATTTGACCTTTGACCTGACCTTGACCCGAAAGTTGACCTCAATCTTAAAATCTTAAGAGTGCTTTGGGAAGGTCTCGTAGAGACCTTTCGAACGCCGCCTCGCGGGGCTCGATGCGACCATTGGTTCTCGAGATAACAGGGGGGGGGTCGGATCCGACCCCCCCCCCCCAGGCTGTCGTGGGTACGGAAATAGCCCAGGCGGTGCCGGGTTTTAACTGCACGTGCATAGCTCTGTCCCAGGCACCCCAGTGCAGTCATTTCCATAACATCCTGTAGCGTGTGAATAGTTCTATCAGTATACCGATTTTTGTGTCGCTAGCTCGACGTTTCCCGGGATCAGAGGATCCCTCGTCAAAACCGTTATCCGCCCCCCGCACGCGCAGCTTGCACCTCCCGGATATTATCTCGCCGGAAGGTCATGACTCAATGTATTCTTTTTATGACCTGCAAATTTTGAACCAGTTAGAGCTGCCGTTTACCCTGCAGGCGTGGTAACGTACGAAGGGGTGCAATCAGCTTGCACGTGCATAGCTCATGCACCACCACAGAGCTTAGCTCAATCAAATTAGGACTATTTTGGAGGCCTTGCCTGGGACTACCATTGTACCGATTTCGAGGTTGATAGCTCAAAATTTCGTTGAGCCAGAGGACCTCACGTCAAAGCAGTTTTCCGACCCCAGCACGTGCAGCCTGCACCCCTCGCAGACGGTGACCCCCTGGAAACTGGTTCAAGGTGTTACCGATGTGTTCCACCAGTGTGGCTTTGTCCGTAGCCTCGGGCTGACCTGTAGCCTTGACAAAAAAAAATTCGTGTCACCGAAACTTTGAAGTGGGATTAGCATGTGCCACGAAGCATTGAGCGAACTGAGGCCAGCACCAAAAGTTTACCTCGCCGGAGACGAGTCGAACGGTACCACTTTGGTCCCGATCGGTCCACCCATTTTAACTCCAGGTCCAAAAAAGCTTGGACGAACTCACATACTCACATACATACTCGTACATACCAAGGCCATATATGTATAGGATACTCACTGACAAACAGGCTCAGCCGAACTTTTTTCAACGACCCACCAATGGGAATTTCCGGATGCAAAAGCATGCTATCGCATGCTTTTGATTCTCCACTTCTGGATGACAAAGCAAGGCAAAACCAAGTTTTGGGGACAACACGGCCAATTAACCCTCGCCGGCACAGGGGGGGGGGGGGGTTGATGCACCCTTCCTAAGGTTTTTCGCGAATAACTCGTGTAACAAGCGGCCGATCGCGACGAAACTTTCAGTACCCTCGCATTGATCAATTTTACACCTACCCTGAAAATTTCATGACCCTGACCCCAATGACCTTTGACCTGTGACCTCTTTTCTGTGACCATGTTTGGCCGAAATCGCGGTTCGGCGCATGTCGGCTCGCATTAGCCGCGCGTTTGCAAGCTTTTCGTGGTTTCAAACGTTCAAACATGTGATTTGATGTTGCTCCCATGCATTAGGGTGAGTGTCAAGGTCACCTGAAGGTCAGGTCAGGTCATTGACCTTTGGTGACCTCGGGTGACCTCGGTTCACTTTTTCGAGTTTTGCATGTTTCTAGGCTAGTTTTTTTAGCTGAATTCGAATTTAGCAACCATTTGAACATTTACGAAGTAGTTTTGGTGCCTTCCTAACATGTTACGAAGCTGTCCGAGGCGGTTGACACGTATTACGAATACCCGGTCACAACCCCTACCGGTTGACCTGACCTGACCTGACCCGACCTGGTCTAAATGCTTAAAGACATCATCTCTGATCAAAACTAACACGATATTCGTGATCAGCACCCCGGAAAACCACATAGCAGCCACACTTTACGACTTTCTAACAGGTCCCGATTTTCCCGGTTTTTGGGTCATTGACCTGACCTGGAACCCGATGACCTAGGACCTTAAAATTGGGTATCATCGGCTTAGTCTCGTGGCGGGCAACACGCTCGTTTTTTCCGCGAAGCTCTAGCTCGATCAGGGGCCAAACGCGAGGGGGGGGTCGTACCAACCCCCCCCCCCCTTGTGCCGTCGAAGGACTCAAAATGGCCTGTGCCGGCGAGGGTTAACTTATCTAGCTAACAGGATATCAACATTTTATGCATCACATAAGGTATGTCATAAAAATGAAAAAGAGCTTACTATGCCGGGCTTCCCCCGGCCTCCACTACCTCCATTATTCATAACTCAACTATTTAGTAAAGTTTGACCATGTTTTAGCTTAGCTCCATTTGAAAGCCAACGGAACAAGCTTCGAGATAAAGCTTGCTGTAGTACGGCAGATAATCGATGAGACGTTGAGAGCCTAACAAAAAAGCGGTGAAATTATAGATGCAAAAAAGACGTAGCCGGGTTGAGCGCTACACCGGCGAACCCCGGCCGCTCCGCGGTATTTTAGCATTTTGAGTGGGAAAAATTGTCGTGCGATTGGTAACTTTGTGTATTCTGTGTTCTACTTCTCATCCTGCATCTGATTTTGGAATCACCTGACCTGTGAGTGAACCGTATCTGGCTTTATTTGCTGTTTAAAATTGTCGGTGCTCGTCGCTGGAGCCGCTGTCGTGAAACTATCGGAAAAATTATCGAAGAGAAGAGCTCATCGTTACATACAGACTTACGTATTTTTTAATGACGCTCTCAACGGTGCAATTTTTAAGCGTCTATCTGCAGTCGTTTTCAAGATAATCATCAAGTTCTGCAGGACTATTTTCTCTCCGCCGCGCATGCCTTCATGGCCCAGGTCTCCCCCTCCCAACCGCCGTCGGTTGCCATGGTGACCAGCCCCTATGGGTCCCGGCCGGCGCCCGAGACGCCGGTAGCCGGCTAACAACAATGCCGGCCGACCCTCGTCCCCTGCCCCGGCGGCCCGCTCGGCGCGGCCGTCGCGCGGGCTGGCGCGCTCGGCGCGCGAGGGGACATGGGAGCGGCGAACAGCTGACTGCTCCCGGCACTGGGACCCCTCACGGGTCTCGTCGTGTAGAGTGCCAAACACCTGACATCAACCATCGACGGGACGACCAAACTGCTCCTGCCTGTGCATACGACCTGGCATTTCTGATGGAGGTGCGTGACCGGCTTAACAACAACACGGCTCGGGAAGTCGCCGAGACTATCCGGCGCAGTCTTCCCGCCCATGTCATCCGCCATCATAATCGGCCACGCCCCCTCAGCCCAGTGGACGGAGCACATGGCCGGCTTGCTCGACAGACTCAGCGCCAGTCTAGCCGGCCGAACGACCCGCCCAAATTACTCATCGGCTCCCTGAATATTCAAAGCCTGAAGCCCAAAGTTCAGGAGCTGACATTTGAGCTCAATCGTCACGACTACGACGTCATGCTTCTGGCTGAGACCTGGCTGCGCTCGACCACCCCGAACCGCCTCCTGGTCATTCCAGGATACACGCTCTGTCGTGTGGACCGCCCAGATGGTAGCGGTTACGGCGGTGTCGCAATTATCACCAAGGCTAAAATCACGTCAACCGCACTCAAGATCCCGGGCAGTGGGAGCTCTGCCAGCAGCCTGGAGTCACTGTGGGCGCTGCTAAAGCTTGAACAGGGCCGGCAGCTGATTATCTGCTCCCTGTATCGGCCACCCCGACACAGTGAGGCTGCTCTGCTTGCCGACTTCACGGACCTCGAGGCCCAACTGCAACGAGTTATAATCGATTACCCCAGTGTTCCGCTTGTCATCTGCGGCGACCTCAACTGTGATTTATTGAAAGAGCCTAATTTCCGCGCGCGTCAACACCTAAGCAGCTTCCTATCAAATTACTCATTAGATCAATTAGTGACAACTGCAACATTTTCCTCCGGCTCGCTCCTGGATGTGTGTATTGTTAACAACCGTGAGCTCGTTTGCGACACCCGTGTTAAATATTGTCACTTCAGTCCTCACAAATTTATCGATGTCGTTATGAATGTGCCGAAACTGCGTCAAAAGCCCACTGTTATCTCGTCTCGCTCCTTTAAGCGTTTGGATCACCGTGCACTGCATCATGACTTACTCGATGTTGACTGGGATTATGTATTCTCCGCCGAAACCGTCAGTAATAAGTGGGATGCTTTCTTGTCTTTCTTCGTACCTGTTTTCGATGCCCATGCCCCAATTAAGCATGTGTCTATCCGTAACCCGACTGCTCCTCCCGTCTCCGACGCCACTCGAGATCTCATGTCCCAACGTCGCGCTGCGCTCCGCCATTTAGGCCGCAACTCGAGCGAGTACAAAAACCTTAACCGCTCTGTCCGGGCGGCTTTGCGTCGCGACCGGCGGGTGGAACTACAGAGGGAAATCGGGGAACGGGGCCCCAACAAAGTTTGGCAATGTATCAGGTCGGTGGTTGCCGGTAAGAAGGATGGTTCTGATGTTCAGCCTGACCTACATATCTGCCAATGACTTAAATTCTTTCTTTGTATCCGTCGGTCCTCGTGTCGCTGCCGAGATCCGAGCCCAAAACGCACCTACTGATTTGAATGTACGTCTTACCCGTGTAGGTGCATGCAGCTTTCAACTTCGGGAAATCACACTTGCCGAGCTTGAGCGGACGATTTTCAGCATGCGTAGCTCGGGTGCTTGCGGTACCGACGGTGTCTGCGTTCGCATGCTGAAAGCCGGATTCCGAGCCATTGGTGGTGTCATCCTGCATATTATCAATACCTGCTTAATTCAATCCGATATCCCCGATTCATGGAAACATTCTATAGTTCACCCTCTGTTCAAATCCGGCAATCCTTCAGACCCCGCAAACTTCCGGCCCATTTCCCTGGTTCCTGTAATCATGAAAGTGGTTGAGCGCATTGTCCATCAGCAGCTCTACATCTACCTCTCTCACAATCACCTTCTGGCATCCTCACAGCACGGCTTCCGCCCCCGGCACTCTACTGAAACCGCGTTGTTGTCCGTCACTGAACGCATCCTGGCCGCCACCGACAGGGGGGAGATCTCAATGCTATGCCTTCTCGATCTTAGTAAATGTTTTGACGTGATAGACCACGAGCTTCTGATGCAAAAACTTATGCTGCACGGTATCGAAATTTCCTGGTTCGCCGCCTATCTTCATGGACACACCCAGAGCGTGTCGTTGAAAAATGGGTCCGGAAGTAGAGTGCTGTCTCGGCCTCTTCCTAATACCATGGGTGTCTTCCAGGGCTCTGCGTTAGGGCCGTTACTTTTCACCATCTTCTCTAACAACTTATCGCTGTACGCGGGTGATGCAGTAGTCTTTCAATATGCCGACGACACCCAAGTATTGGTTAGCGGTCCTGCCAGGGACCTTGGAGTTCTCATCTCGCGCATGGAGGTTTCGCTCGCGTCACTAAACGAATGGTTCTGCGCTAACGCCCTGAAGGTCAACGCCAGTAAAACACAGCTCATTGTCTTCGGCAGTCGTCAAAATTTACGCAAATTGCCAGATTTCAGGGTATCGTTCCGTGACGCAGCGTTGCAGCCGTGCGCGCAGGTGGGGAACCTGGGCGTCACTTTTGACAGTACTCTATCCTGGGACGCTCACGTCTCCGAACTCAGCCGCCGGTGTACGGGACTATTGATCGGTCTCTCCCATGCGCGCCACAGTCTCCCGGATGGCATCATTAGAACGCTCGTGACAGCACTCGTTATCTCACGCATCCAGTACTGCCTCTCAGTTTATGGCAACGGGTCCCAAAAAAATTTCGATCGTCTCCAAAAAATTTTGAACTTCGCTGCTAGAGTCATTTTCGGTCGCCGTAAATTTGCCCATGTCTCTGACCTGCGAAAAAAGCTCGGGTGGTTGTCCCCGCGTCATATGGCTGATTATCAAACCCTTGTTATCGCCCACAAAGCCATTCAGCGCGGCGAACCCGAGGAATTGGCAACCATGTTCGTCACAAACAGCGCTGTCCGGGAGAGACACTCCAGGCAAGACCACCTCTTTCACCTTCCGCGACCACGGCTGGAAACGGGTAGGCGGCGGTTCGCCCATCGAGCCGCAGCTCTACTCAACAGTCTTCCAACTCAGCTGTCGCAGCTGTCCCCCGCCCCCTTTGCCCGATCTGTTAAAGCCGCGATAGTGGACGGGGCATCAACTGATCGTCGCTGACCAACGGGTTGGTGGGTGGGTGAGTTGTACCTGTGGTACTACGAAGGTGTCTCTGTCCGTGCTCTGACGTGAGTGAGTGTGTGAATGCTGTGAATGTTTAGATTAGTAACCGCGGATACGGATTCTGAGCAGTAATCGCCACGCACTTTCAGAATGTGGATCGCTCATGATTGTTCAATACAATACAAATACAATAGGGTAATGCCGGCACGGGGTACAATAGCAGATGCTGAAAAATATCAAAACATTGCATGGTCGCCGTATCGCATATTGTGACACATATATAGCTGGCGTGCAATTTTCCCTAAAGTGTCCTGCAGAAATGTTTGAAACTCGTGCGGCCCGCCGTCGAACTCTGACTCAGTGTATACCCACTCACTGTTCCCGCAGTTACGGCACACACGGCTGCACGGCCGGGCGGGCCGAGCAGGCGTTCGAGTACCTCTCCAGCAGCGGCGACGGCCTATCGAAGGCCGCCGATTACCGGTACTACGGCGGCGACTGGGAGAGCTGCCGTTCCCACACGGGCGTCGCACACATCTCCGACTGGAGGTTCACGTCGCGCGCCAGCGAGCCCGAGCTCGAGTACGTGGTGGCCACGGTGGGGCCGACGGCGGCGCGCATCGACGCCGACCACACGGCGTTCCAGCTGTACGCGGGCGGCGTGCTGCACGTGAACCACTGCAGCACCGACCGGCCCACGCTGGCCGTCGAGGTGGTCGGCTTCGGCTCAGAGGACTACTTCGGCCAGCTGGTCACCTACTGGCTGATCAAAAACTCGTGGGGACCCGGCTGGGGCGAGTACGGCTACTTAAAACTCCACAAGGACGCCAACAACATGTGCGGAATAGCGACCGACGCCTCCTACCCGCTGGTTGGGTGAGGTCCATGGACAGTACTCGATCGTTAGTGTGGAGGTCAGCTTGTACATAGGTGTGATTAAGGATCAGTTCAATACAGAGTGACTGGTCATGACCGATGATGGGTAAATGCTGCGTTATTTATCTGAAAAGCGCGGGACCGTAGTCATGCACAGTGGTTTCCGCATGCGATAGGATGAGCGATAAACGATAAACAATGCTTCGCTGTCAACCCGCGCCGGGCCGGTGCTCTGAGATTCGGCACCGGGCCGGGGGGGGGGGGTGTCTGAACACCCCCCTTCTAACTCGGCTCCTTGGCCACGTAGCGACACGCGGTAAGCGGCAATCGAAAGAACGTCCAAAATAAGGACGAAAACACCTGGTCATTTTTTGGGTCAGGTCATAGGTCAGGTCACCAGAGGTCACCAAAGGTAAAATTTTGACTATTTCAACATTTTGGAAACTGCCGACGGCTATCTCGGGAACCGATAAAGCTACAGCACCGCAGTAAAGCGCATTCGATAGCCCTTTTAACCCTCGCCCGCACATGGGGGGGGGGGTGGTTGCCACCCCCCCAGGCAGTCTTTCTGCTCTGCACTCAACATTTTTTGAGCTAGAAGGCTGATTTTTCGTATAGCTGCTCGTCCATCCTTTCTTGATGTCCACTGAAAATTTCAAGTTTCTGTGATTTTTGGTTTCGGAGATATGACCTTGTTTTTCAGGTCATGTCATGACCCAAATGGCCAATTCTCAACATCTTGCGTTTGCCATGGGCCTTGTGAGATTTTGACACCCTGATTTCGGCCTTTTTTGCCAGTCTTACCTCCCACCTATCATGGAACATGTTGTTCGACGATGTACAGGGGTCAAGGTCAGGGTCAAGGTCAACCTAGGTCATCTAAGATAATTGCGTTTTAGGCAAGCTGAATTTACTTTTTGTGAAGTTTTTTGACTGCATTTTTGGTAAAAGCTTCTCAGATCATGATTTCATGTGATATGGACCCAAAAACAATCGGTGCACACATCAGTATACACACAGACACACACAGACATACAAACACATATAATTGACCTTGACCTAACTTGACCTGAAATGACCTCAGCAGCAAAATTCTGGTCGGATAGTGTGACAAAGAGGTTCTAGCTGGCTTGGCACCAGAAAACAGCATCGACATCGGTATTTGATAAGCAGCGCACTTGATATCCAACGGTGACCCAAAACAGCAACATTTTTTAGTTTGACCTGACCTGGAAGGTCAATGACTGACCTGAGAAGGTAAAACTAGGTATCATTGGATTCGTCTCTTCCCAAAGAATCTTTTTGGTCTTTACTGCTAAGCTCTATCTCCAACAGGAACGAAATGGCGCGGGGGGGTGGCAACCACCCCCCCCCCCCCCATGTGCGTTCTAGGATGGGAAAATGGCATGTGCGGGCGAAGGTTAAAGACCTTTCTGAGTAATGTCCTCAGATTTGACCTCAGGTCAACGGTTTAGCCTCCAGAGGGCAAAAACTCCAAAAATAGCCGTTTTCACGAGAAACGTTTTTTCGGCAATAGCTTTTGACTCAAAAGAGATGACATTACTTTTGCCAGCATGGTGTTCCTCTTGTCGAGACGCGTCGAATGAACTATAATTTGACCTTGAAAGGTCAACTTGAAAATTTGGCCTCAGGTCAAGGTCATGACCTGACCGTAAAAGGTCATGTTGCATATCAGTCGGTTCGCAACGTCGAGCCAAACATATCTAAGGCGTTTTCAGCGCTCTAGCACGCCTCTATCAGAAGTTATTAGCGAAAAAACTGTTAGCTGTTAGAAAAACTGAAAAACTGTTCGTGACCTGAGATGACCTCGGGGACATACCGAGGGGTCACAACTCACAGTTGCTATTTTCCGGTTCAGTGTGTCAATCGTACCTACATCTCGATGTTTGAGAGTGTCTAGAATAGCGTTTGTGCAAAACAGGCGCTTTTCAATTTTCTCCCATTGACTTAGGTAAAATGGAGAGGCCGCAACATTGACCTGACCTTAGGTCACCTATATTAAGATTCCGAGATATGCGTTTTACAGATAATGTTGCTGTTATCAATCGCTGATAGTTTCAAGGCAGTCGATCAATCGGTGTAGCTATGACGAGCATTCTTATTGTTTCTTACACACCCCCCCCCCCGGCCCGGCGCCGATTATCGTTAAATAATCGATTATCGATTATCGTTACCTATCGTCTATCGTTAAATTTTCAAAATTATCGCTCATCCACTTATCGCAAGTTACAAAAAAATTATACACGATAAACGATAAAATGTAAAACGGGATGATGGAAAAATGGAAGACGATCGACATGCATGCCGGGTGACAGTATGTGAAACAGATGCTGAGCTTGACTAAAATGTGTTTTTGTCCTTTTTCTTTACTTGTATGATCCAGTATTGAGTATATACTGCAAATAAACTTTAAGTACACTTATTTTAGCTGTATTTTTTTTATCGCTTTTGTTATCGCTGTTAAAAACAATTATCGTTATCGTTTATCGTTTATCGTTTCGTTATCGCTGTATGAAAACAATCATCGTTATCATTTTATCGTTTATCGTTTCGTTATCGCTATTAAAAAAAACAATTGTCGTTATCGTTTTATCGTTTTATCGCTATCGCTGTTAATTTTTTTGAAAAAAAAATATCGTTTATCGTTTATCGTTATCGCAAACCTTTCTTATCGTTTAATCGTTATCGCAGGTCTGAGAATAAGTTATCGCGGAAAGCACTGGTCATGCATTATGCAGCGAACGATCACTGTGTAGGGTAGAAGGTACAGGTGACCGCTGAAGTAATGTACGGTATCCGTGGCGGCATTGGGTTTGCATCTGTATCTTAGGATCTATTTGTCCGACTGCAATGAAACTTGGAATGTAGCTTACAAGTGCCGAGATCTTTTGGTTGCAATCTCATCTTTTGCTGTCTACCTCTGGATCACTCCGTATTTTAAAATCGTCGGTCAGAGCCATCTGTTGAGGAGATTCGTAACTAAATTCATGATTACGCCACTGATGCCCAACCACGTGATTCGGCTGGGCAGCGAACCAATCACCTTTCTTGCAGACAGCATGAATGACGCCAGGTGCCCTTGCGTCGAGGCTTGCGCTTCTCGGTTGTGGCGTGACCGAGTCGGGTCGCAGAGCGAGGTCAGTGGGGTCAGCCTGGTCAACCGCCTCCGGGCTAGCGGTGCGCTGGGCAGCGCGGGTCTGGGCAGACCCTCTGCGCCACATGAGGGCCCTTAGTGGTCGTTATAGGGCCCCAGCCTGCCCCAGGGGACAGAGGTCGTCGTGAGAGCCCTCAGAGATCATCGTAAGGGCCTTCAGAGGCCGTCATGGGGCCATCAGAGACCAGCGTGACCCCTGGAGTCTCCTTGGGGGCCCTGGAGTCTCTGTGGGACCCTCAGCGGTCGTCATGAGGGCCCTTAGTGGCCGTTGTAGGGCCCCAGGGGACAGAGGTCGTCGTGGGAGCCCTCAGAGATCGTCATAAAAGGGCCTTCTGAGGCCGTCGTGGGGGCCCTCAGATGCCGCATGGAGCACCAAACGCGGCTCGGGACACTTCTAGCCGGTGTGGGGGCCCCAAAGACTAGCATGGGGACTGCAGGGAGCTCCTGACCATAATTGGACATTCCGGATGATTGCACATCAGTGTTCGTTTCCCGATCACTGGTTTTCAGGAGAAAATGTATTGGATGGTGCGACGGGCCCCTTGCACAGATTTTCGGGGTGCAAAAAGATATGTTTGCTTGCGCCCCATGTTTTTCGATGGGGGTGCAGCTGCACCCCCCGCACCCGCTATTCCGCCGCCGCCACTGATCGCCGACCGTTTGATGCAGGTCCTCTTCCTGCCTACTATGCGATTTTCAGATGTATGGAAACACATTGCTTAGTGAACGAACAGCCCGATAATCTGTGAGAGAAAAAGAAAGGAGTGTTTGTAGCTGTTTGAGGCAGTAAATGTGAAATATGTCGCGACATTTTACGTGCAAACGCACCTTGCACTTAACACCTACCTATACACGTCCCTCATGGCTACAAAACGAGAGAGAGAGAGAGAGAGAGAGAGAGAGAGAGAGAGAGAGAGAGAGAGAGAGAGAGAGAGAGAGAGAGAGAGAGAGAGAGAGAGAGAGAGAGAGAGAGAGAGGAGAGAGAGGGAGGTAGGGAGGAAGAGAGTTGGGGGAACGAGGAAGAGAGGAAGGAAGATGGGGAGAGAAAGAAAGAACCCACAGCGTATCACGAGTGGGGTCTATGGTTGATATTCATACTTCCGCTTAGGACCCTACCAATGTGCCCCTCGTTGCGTTTTCGCAAAGTTCCCGATGCCCTTTGTTGCGTTCCCGCAAGTCGCAACGCGACCGTAGTCATATTTGAAAATAGTCACAAGCCCTTTTACAGCATGATTTCTTAACAAAATGCATTAACCTTCCAGGTGGTGGGTAGGGGCATTTTTTGCCCCCCCCCCCCCTTAGTTTTTTCGATACCTAGGTATATCTCGAGAACCGCTGCGCCGATCGTCACCAAACTTTCAGTACCCTCCCGGGAGTAGGTATAGCTAGCGCACATGGTGACCAATTTTTTTTTTCCAAAGGCTATGATAGGTTGGCCGCTAATGACGTCAGAGTGACGTCATTTTTGCCATTTTCGACCCAAAAAAAGGTTTCGCGGGAAGAGCTGTCAGGCCTACAGCTTTAGAGATACAGAAAAATGGTCCAGACATAAACGGTGTGGAATCAAGAGGACTACAAAACTGCCATTTCGGTTTTTCGAATTTTTTGGATTTTGACCCCCAAAAATCAAAAAAAATATTTTTTTAAATATAATAGCCGAAAAATCCAAAACGTTTTTTGAATTTCGAAAAAAACGGAATATATGTGATATTCCCTACCGCCTTCTATCCGCATACCAAATTTGAGATCAATACCTCTTTTTTGGCCAAGTTATAGCGAAAAAAAAACTGTTAAAAATTGATGACGTCAAATTTTCAAACTCAAT